AATAAAGTTTAGAGTAAAAAATAAGATATAATTAGGCTTTTGCAAAAGAATTTGCATAAGCCCATGTAAGGTTTTTTCAAATCTATGTATATCAAATAGTTAAATACTGGTACAAATCATGAGAGACTATTAACAGAATTGGGATTTTCATTCTGTAACTTTTCCAGAGTCACAGTTATTAATAAGGTGCTTTTTTCTTATTTTAAATTTAAGGAGTTCTACAAATGAGATTCTTTATAGACATATTTTAACATGTCAAGTTCTGGCCCTCAGATACTTTAGTATATAGTTGCCTGTATATGAAGCATTAGCAGTATGAGGAGGCATGGAACAAACTTGAAACATCTCACTGTTGTGATTATTTGAACAATCAGCTCAAGTTAATTTGCTCCTGCCCATTCCCATTAGGGAAATGGAACAAACTACTCCAAAATCCTGTGTAAAGTTGCAATGAATATAGAATGAGATTTAATGAAATAGCAATCAATAGAAAATAGACCACAGTGATATTTGCCCTTCCCTAAGGACAGGCCAAGGTCTCATGTGATGCCGCCCCGCTCTGCCACCACGTTCTGCTGGAGGTGAGCACACCACACACATTTCCTCCCCAGCAGAACCAGTGCTGTGGGAAAAGGTATGCACATCTCATACACAAAGCCTGTGTACCAGTAGGGTGAGCTGCAATAAAATAAATGAGTGTACTGCATTGTTGGAGGCTCAACCTCAGTTCCTCAGTTTAAGTTCCAATCCTACATGCTTCATGCTCTGCCTGGGAGGCTCTGTAAGAGGAAAAAAAGATGGTCTAGAGCAGAGAGATAAGATTGAAGGATATCACAGCACAGAGCTGGGCTGTCAGAGGGAGCAGGGACATGACCAACCTTCCTCTCCCAACAGGGTCACTCTGCGCCTTGTAGGCAATGGAGAATTCCCAGAGATCCCAAGTCACAACCACCCCAGGAAGGACAGAAAGCCCTCCAGAAAGATCCCCTGCTGTGACTAATTTGCAGCAAGCAGCTGAGCCAGTGCTTACTCTCAAAGCCCCAGCATCACTGTAAATCTTGTCAGTCAGCATCAGTCTCCCACTGACAAACAGCAACTTCAGTGCTATTGCACTGCACAGCTCCTTTCAAACACTTGGCTAGAGAAGAGTGAGCAAAACATAGATGTGCCCCAACTGAAAATGAAGCCAGAACCTGGGCAACAGCTATAAGAAAAATGACAGAGGAGCTCACATAAGTTTAAAAAGTTTTAACATTCCTTAGATGCTGTGCAGTAGCAGGTTGGCCAGGTAGGAGCACACAAAAGTCTGACACTGATGGGTCCGAGCAGAAAAAGGTTCTCCCAGAGCACTCCAAAGTGCTGTCATAATGCTGCCTGTAAGAAGAAAGCTGGTTTCAGTGCAAGGGTACTCATGCTCTTTGACTCATTTCAACATGGACTGCAGATTTCATAAAAAGAACTTTGATAAAAGAATGGAAACATTGGTCACAGGACTTGGACAATTCATGCAAGATTTCAATGAACTAAATAAAGTACAGCTTCATGCCATTAGAGCTGATCAGCAGAGATGTCAAGATAATTTTGTTGTACACAGGCTCTTCTATCAGTGGAGCATACGAGCCCAAAGGAGCTTTTTCTGATGGAAACCACAGCCAATGTTTACCTGTGATATGTATAAAAGAGGAGTCAGGCACTATTATGAGCAGCACAGATACGGAGAGTGGGTACTAAGACCATGCACACTAAGAAAATAACAAAACAAAAAAGCAGGTCAAGGAATTTGGAAAGCTACCCTGGCAAATGCCACTACTAAACGAAGCTTTTCAATCAAACAGAAACTTCTTTTGGCTTGTTTCCTAAGTATGAGATTTTGCACTTTGAAATATTATCAGGAAAATGTAGCATAGGTGGGGGAACACCTGTTTTTTCTCTTGGCATGTAAAGTTCTCAGCATAGCAAAGGCATTCATGTTAGAAATGTTTCTGATGTATACCCAGATTTAGCCCTATATAGGTGAATATTCTGTGTAATAGTAAGTGCAAAATAATCTGAATAACTGGTGAGGCCGCACCTGGAGTGCTGTGTCCAGTTCTGGCCCTTCAGTTTAGGAAGGACGTTGAGACGCTGGAGCAGGTCCAGAGAAGGGCAGCAGAGCTGGTGATGGGCTTGGAACACAAGCCCTGTGAGGAACGACTGAGAGAGCAGGGGCTGTTTAGCCTGGACAAAGGAGAGTCAGAGGTGACTTTACCACTCTGTACAGCTTCCTGAAAGGTGCCTGTGCTCAGGTGGGGTTGGGCTCTTTCTCCAGGCAGCACTGACAGAACCAGAGGACACAGTCTAAAGCTGCATCAATGGAAATATAGGTTCAATATTAGGAAAAAGTTTTTCATGGAAGGAGTTAAAGTTCTGGAATGGCCTGCCCAGGGAGGTGGTGGAGTCAGCATCTCTGGATGTGTTTAACAGAGTGTGGATGTGGCACTGGGTGCCAGGGTTTAGTTGAGATGTTGGGGGCTGGGTTGGACTCGATGATCTTGAAGATCTCTTCCAACCCAGTGATTCTGTGAATTCTGTGTGAACTCTACATGGGCAATCAGTTAGAACTTTTATATAGCAGTACTCTCTGATGAAAGTTATGCTGTACACTAAAAGCTGTGGCATTTAGTAGTTTACAGACTCATTGGCACAGAACAAGGGTGCTCAGAAATCAAAATGTGCATTGTAATTTAAAAGGCAAATAGATTTTTTTTAAATGTACCACATCAGTTTTCCTGAGATTTCTCAAATATAAAATATAAAAACAGTTAAACAGTCATTTCCAGATCAGCACTGCTTATATCTTTTACAGACATGAATAACTCCAGCACTTAGAACAATTTCTCATCAGTCAGGCAATTCCTTCTGCAAAAGAGTTGTAGCCATGTGGCTTTTTGTTTGATTACGAGTCCTGCAGGTAACACACAGCTCCTACACATTAAAGAACTTGTGGCCTTGGTGCAATAGTATCTTAGAACAAGCAAAGAGAAACGACACTACGCTTCATAAATATTGGGTGAGAAGAGTTCCACCATCCAAGTCAAGTTATGTGAACCAACCCTGCAAAGCTGTAAGGAGTAGTTAAGATGTAATTTACCATTTACAACAGATGACAGGGACTGTGACAGGTAACAGGCTGCACTTGTGGGAGTTCAATGATCCAAAACTAGCACCCTGCTCTAGGGTATCATGTAGCTTTTGTACTGCTCCTGTCTTGTTCTAGGGTTAAGATCATTGTCAGCAAAAACACAGTGTCAGACTAATGAAACATAGACTATGGCTCAGTGGAAAGATGGTCCAAATGAGCACTGGCAAAGATAAAATCAGCATGCTCTGTTCATTGGTCTATTAGGGAATGAGTCTGACTAAAAAAGAAGAGAACCACAAAGCCCTGGATGTGTATGCTTGGAAAATGTGTGTTCTCAACAAGTTTAAAGCTTCTAACTCAAATTAAAATGGCTCCTCAGAACAAGAGCATTTCCTTACACAAGAGTCACTTCATGCAGCCATCACTTGGAGAAAAAAATTAATAATTGTCCCTTTGAATTCAGAAAGTAGCTGAACTAGATTACTTAATATTGCTTCATCTAATATTTCTTGAGAATCTCTGTATAGTAAGAAACCTACATTAATTTCTCCAGATTTCAAAAAAGCCAAAAAGGCTGCATTTCAGTTACATCTCAGTGGATAGAAGATGAATGATTGCAACGTGGAAACACCCAAAATAGAGGGCATTCAACAATATAGCCTAAAATAAGGTGATAAATAATAACCATATACCAGAATTTAATGCATAATTTCATCTTAAATATGGAATATTGTGTAGTTTTAGACAGTTACTTCTAGGCAGAGGGTGAGATGTGTAAATTCTAGTGGAACAATTCAAAAGTCACGGAGACCTAGCAGAGAACATAGTTGAGATAATTCTGAAGCAGGCAGCAGCCACTGGTAGTCCCACAGGGCTGCAGATAATGTGAGCAGGAGTTGCAATGTAGCAGTTGGGCAAAGTTATGACATTTCAATACCCTGCAGTAAATGTACTAGGCAAGACCCTCATTTGATATAAAACTGAATATAGACCTCAGGGAAACAAGGAAAACAATACTAAAGGCAAAGGAAGTATTTCACAGTTTCAGAAAGCTGGGAGATAGAACCTTGTCCTATGTTTTACTGTGTGCTTCATTTGGAAGGAAAAAATTGGTCAGAGTTATAATATGTGCCAGTCAACCCCAAATCTGAAAGAAACTCCAAGTTTAAATAAATAAGGCTATTTTGATTTCAGGCAGGCCTATACAACTTACAGTCCAATGTAAATTCAGCATTTGGCATTGCTTGAAAGCCAAAGGAGAAGCACTAAACATACCCCATGTCACAACAGATTTTTTTATTTTGTCTTTTTTAGACAAACATTTACAACTGCCTCATCCTAATAAACTACACCCTCTCTTATGGATATCATATCTATATAAAGGCAAGTTTTATATGACTTTTATTGACTTTGAGGTACATGTTGGACAAATATCAATGTTAATCTCAGACACTTAAAAATTTATTCAGCATTGTCCAGTTTACATTGAGCTCTGATCTTTCATCCTGGTCACCCAGAGCTTTCAGGGAAAAAAAAAGACTTCTAGTTTCATTCTCCTCTGGGTCAGGCTCAACCTTCAATTCCCTTTCATAATTGGAGAAGCAAAGAGGAAAATTATTAACATTTCTATTTTTCCCCGAGAGACATCCACTGGACGGCCTGGTATTTTGCCTTTTTTTTTTTTTAAGTTCTCATCTTACAAAATATATTTTTGTCAAATGCTTCAGAAATTACTCACAGATAAAGATCAGATGTACAAAATAAGAATACTGCTAGAACTGATTGCACTGCTATATGTATAATTTATAAGTTTTTATTTAAGAAAGCCACAGCTCAGCAGAGCAGATTCAAAACCCACGTATTTTCCATGTTTAGGAGAATGAGTCCAAATACTTGCTGGCTTTGCAAGATATTCAGACCAGAAGAAAATGGGATCAGTTCTAAGTAAGTAAGGATAAGAATCTTATGTTCTGCAGTCCATGCAGCTGAGTAGGAGAAACAAACCCCTCAAAATTCACAGTGGAGATTTTCATTGTAAGCTTAGGATCGTGCAAAAGAGGGCAACACCTTCACAGCTGCCCCAGCCAAGCAGCTTCTGGCAGCCCCTTCCTCAGCAGCACACTGATGTACACTGGCATATCCCACCAGGAACTCCCTTAATGTTACATAGGCATAGCCCAAACTCACCTCCGGATTAAGTCCAGATTTGGACCTGGGAGGAATTAGAAAGCCAAATATTTGGTCCATCTTTTAAAAGAATTCAGGCTGTTGGCAAAGGCTGAATATTCATGTAGAGCATAAGAGACATGGCCAAGTGGCTCCTGCAAGTCCTTGGGTGCCACCAGGCTCTGTGGGGGCCAAGCACTGCCAGGAATTTGGGGGACATGTCCCATTGGGGTGGTGGAGTGCTGCCATCCAAACTGCCTTCTGCTGCTATCAGATCAGACACAGAATTGATTTATTGACACACATCCCCCACGGCAATACTAAGGAGCACCTGACAACCCCTGAAACTGCCATTTGGGTGAAGTCAGGAGTAGAAATGCAGACAGTGTTTTCAACTACTGGATGAGGATTTCTGCACCATGGTGGGGAGGGGAGCCACTCACAGTGGAGGGTGTAGGATAAGTGAGAAATAGCTCCCACAGGACACTACAATTTCAGTTTTTGAGTCCCAGCTACAAAGCCTTAGTTATTTTTGGAGAGGTTTTTTGGCTTTTTTTTCAGTGTAATAGATGTGCTTCAGCAAATCCAATCATATTTCAGATTAAATCAGAGCAGCAAGACATTTACTATCAGAGCAACAGCTACTAAAAGGGCATTAATACAGATCATCATAACCTATTCCCTTGCTGCCCTTCATATTTTCCTGATTGTTAAAGGAAAGTAAAAAGGAAAAAAAGGTTTTCCTCTGTGTCAGCTGCTTCATCAGGCAGGGTTTTTTCTGCTTCACAGATCAATGCTAAAGACAAATAATCAGAAATGGAAATAAGATGGCTCTCCTGATGATGTTCAGTGAGACAGACAAGATTGTCACTCATTGTATACAAGTGTTGTTGCTGACAGGTGAAAAATTATCTGCCTCAGGTGAAAAATTATCTGCATCAGGAAAAGCAAATATGACTCAGAAGTAGTTTGTAAGGAGAAAAAAAAATGATTCAAAGATCTAGAGATTTTCACTCCCCATAACCACATGCTTTATGAGTTTTTACAGAGAGAAGGCTAATAGCTCACAAGAATGAAAAAAAAAATCTTTTAGTGGCAAGAGTTACTAGAGAGTTACTGACACCACAGTTCAACAGTGGTAGCATTTCTCTTACTCTATATTTCTTTGACTATGTCAAACTGACACAAGCCTGAGAAAATAATCACCTAGTCATGTACTTTTTCAGAGAAAGAGGGAATTGTATCAAGTTATAAATAAACTATAAATCATTACCAATTAAAAAAGCTACAGAGCAGGGAATGGTTGTTCTGCAGCAGAAATCTATAAAGCATCATGCAGCACTCATATCAAAGCAAATTTTGATTTAAATTTTAAAAAGCCCTATGATACTAAACAGTTGTTGACAAAATTATAGCTGCCATGAAAAGCAAATACTCAATGAGAGGGGACCGTACTCCAAATTTGGCTGAGGCATAATGGAAAGCACCCACTGGAATACATCCCCTGTCCTTTCTTTTACTAACATAAGTATAAGCATCTCTTCCAAGTTACCAGCATTGGTGTCCTAAAACTTCAATGCTTGAAAATATGTTGGTGCAAATGGAACTACATGCACTCAAATGGAGATACTGCCCTCAAACATTTGTTTTTCCTGAAATTGTTTAGTCTCTCACCTCACTACTTCCATGCTCTTTCCCAGAATCAGGCATGAGACTCCCACAAGCTTATGAACTTACTGTTTAATAGCAAACATGAAAGTAAAATCTGACTCTAGTCACCTCCAAGGGCTGTGTAGATTAGTAATAATGTGTCATACTGCATTGTAAACAACTGGTGGGAGAAGGAAGTCTCTTCCAGCTAAGATTGCATTAACCTTTCAATATTTACCTTATGCTTGGACCTTATATTCAGCTCTCAGATGATAAGTCAACTTTGATGTTAAAGGCCTTGAAACACTACAATAAGATCTTGTGTCCCCAAAGACTTGGCTACTAAATACAAACATCAATAATTCCTGAATTCTATGATGATTTCTGTCTCCAAAGAAGTTGCTGTCTAGAAGGGCAGTACTTTTCTTGTGTTTCTCTTAAGCACAGTTTAAATAAGTGAATGCCATCTCTAGAGGAATTACACGGAGGACCTTGAAATGGAACTGCATTTGTTACATCAAGAAAAATATTTGTCTCAACATAGTAAGCACAAGAACTAGAAGATGCAAGAAAGCCTTTTAAAGTGTAAGATTCATAAACCTCATATTTAAATTAGGGAACAGATTTTCAACAAGGTTATTAGGTTTTTTTACTTTGAGCCATGGCTAACCCTGCAATAATGACCTCCTTTTTTCTAAAGGGTGTCTTTGGAGGAAGTGCTACAGTGGTCCCAGTCTTTTGAAAATCTGGTAACAATCAAATGTAAGTAATTGCATGTTTGTGTCCCACATGGATTGCTGAGACAAGTTCCCACAAAGCAAAATCAGTAACTCATGCTGCATACTATATGCTGCCTTATACACAACTAATGAAAAACAACTTTGTGACGTGCCTAGCACGCATCACACTGGAAATAAACATAGCATGCTGCAAATGCTTTCCCAAACTTGCCATTTCTGCAATCATTTAATTTCTGTACAGACACATAATGAGAGCATGGTTTGTCTGCCACATCCCCACTTAGAATACTGAGTAGCACCTTATATTAGCAGAAAAGTGACAAAGTTCACTTGAGAAACCCTGCATACACCAAAGAGACCAGATAATGGCATATCTATTCAGGGAAATGCCATGGAAGGCAGGTCCAATATTCACAGATGGGAAGAACTGTAGATGCAGCAGGAATTCTGAACTTTCCCACTCCATCCCCCTCTGCTTCATATGGGACTCAGAGCTCTCCCAGATTTCTCGTACGGGCAGCAGTCCAGAACATCACTGCTGAATTACATTTTTTAAAATAGTGATGAAAAAGTCACAGCAAAAGCCTCTAAAAATTACTCCTGAGGACTGGCATTATAGTATTTTACTGTAGAAAAATTACAGAGCTAGAAGATTAACAGCATTTTTAACTTAAAAGATTTTGCTGTTAAAATCTTAAACAACCTAGTATGTTACAGCACAGGGAGAAACTCCTCAACAGAAAACTGTTCAAAGAGACAAAATGACAGCAGGAGCAGCAGGCACACATGTGATCACCCCCTCTGCCAGATGACAGGCTATGCTCAATATCTTCAGAAATTTGAAAGGCCAGAATGCTGCACCAGCAACAAAGTTTGCTTTAAATAAAACACCTTGAGCTTCCAGCAGTAATTAGAATGATGTCCTTCTTAAAATGCCTCCTTCACTGCACTTAAAAACACTACTCATTGAATTTTAATTAATTTAAAAGCTCTATGACACCAAAAATGGAAAGGTGGATTCACATAAAAAGCCAGATACTCTAAACCCAGTGGATTTGCAGCTCTTCGGGAAATGTAGACAAAGTGTTTGCCTACCTTAGATTTACTGTGGGATTAGATTTACTAGGGAGCCCTGCATGTGCAGGAAAATACAAGGTTGAAGTGTAGGGCCGAGGCACTACTTTTTAAGTGTCCCTATTACCTCCAAAGCACTCTAAAGATAATGCATGTAGACAGGCAGTATAAATTTGGCTTCTGAAATATTTATAGATGTGCCTATAATCTATAAGACCTACTTGAAGACAGAACACAGTGATGAAAACATAGAATTCTGGCTTGTCTGTGAAGCTTATGAGAAGATAAAATCACAGAGGCAAAGGATTTCCATGGCCAGGAAGCTCTTTACGAGTTACATCCAACCCCAGGCTCCCAAAAAGGTGACTACAAGATCAGGAGCTCTTTATTTCATAGAAATGCCTGAAGTGTCACACGGCAGACCAACAAGAAATGCCTAGTTCCTCTTGCGCCAAAGAGAGTGAAAACTTGCATCCATCCTCCCCTCAAACTCTTTTCCACACAGAATTTTAGTATTTGAATCTACATCTCACCTACAGGCAAATATTTCAACTACATCCACCAAGAACACAAGCAAAATGCACAATTCAGTTAAGAACCAAATTAATGGATCTCTTTTTTCTTTTTTTAACATCAGATTCAGAAGCCATTGATATCACTTCACTATATTTTGGATCATCCCATTGCTACATATATCTCTATCTATCTATATATCTATATCTCAGTCTGGTCTTTGCAAGAGTAAATATAACTGAGCAAAGTAAAAACTGTACCCAGTGCTGTCCCCTTTGCAAAATGGGTGAAAAGAAAGATTCCAAGACACATTACTTTTTTTTTTTTTTTTTTTTTTTTAATAAAAAAGCAAATTTGTATGTAAAGTATCTGGGTTTTTTCCCCTGACAAACGGCTATAGAAAAAAGTCATTCCTGCTCAGCCAAACATGCTCTATGACCTTTAAACATTCCTGCTTATTACTCTCCTTGCAAAACTAAGCGAACATTGGCTTTTACTGCCACTGCCTCTGCAGGCTGACATAACTAAAAAATCATGCTACATTATTTTCTGGTTTATGTGTAACAGTGAAATTATTATAGAGTCTCAAAATGCAGCCTCCCTGCTGGCACTGGAGGAGAAGCCAAACCCAAATCAGCTGGATTTCCAAATGTTGGCTGAGAGCAGCTGCTGCTTTAAATTACTAAACCACTCCCTCTTGCCCAAATCTTGAGCAAATTTTAAAGTTCCCTCTGTTAGTTTTAAGTGCCAAGTGGTAAAACAATGCATTCTTGTCCTTTTTTCTCAGTATTTTTTTTTTTAGTACGTGCAGCTATAGGGAACTCAGCAACACAGTTGCATTTACAAGAGAGAAATGTCAATATTGCCAACCCCAAATTCATTAATCAAATGTAAGGGCTTAAATCAGGACAGTCATAAATAAGCTGTGCAATTTTTTCTAAAATAGTGTGTATTTGAATCTTTCTATTGGCTGTCTGGTTTCTAGAGCTTCAGGACAGCACAATTTCCCATATTCTTGATATTCACTATTAACACAAAAACTACGTACCACTCTAAAAACTACATGCTCATGAGGATATGAAACACAGTTTATATTCAAATTAAAGCAGCATTTAAAAAGGGGCCCACTCAAATGACACCCCTGGAGGAGGAAGATCTCAACCCATGAAAGACATCAGCACCAACCAAATCTTTAGAGGTCTCCTCTCCACACTAACAGACAAGGTCAAGCTGAACACAACCAATGGAACTCATCATAAGCTGATGGACTTTCAAAGGGTTCCTTTTATCTGGTGTTTATGCTGACCACCAGACCTTTCTGCTGTTACAAACCTGCAGAGCTTCAATTTATTTGCTACAGACCATGAATTGCAGCAGGAAAACTCAAGGAACGAAAACTTTTCCCAAAAAAGGTTGATATATGTCTTGGTTTGGAAAGACAGGAGTCTGCTAAGGAAGGCAGGAGCCTCCCCTGAAATGGAGAATGTAAACCCTCCCCACCCCTCTGAATTGCTATAAATTTTAAATTAAGGGGCTCTCAGGCAAAAATATGGGAGCAGGAAATAACAGTTCTTTAATAGGGAAGAAAAAAATAAAAGGATAAAATAAACAATGCAGTACACTAGAACATCACTGACAGAGTGAGAACCCAACCTGACACCCTGTGGGGTGTTGGTAGCAATCCAATTGGAAATGTGTCTGCAGTCCTCCTGAAGTGTCAGGTGTGGTTCTGTTGGAGCAAGAGGGTCCTGTAGGAAAAGGTGTATTCTTCCTCTGAAGATCCAGTGGAAGAAGAGGCAGATGCTGTTCCTCAGGGAAATCCAGTGGAGAAAGCCGTGTCGGTGTCTCAAAAACCTCTGGATTATATCCGGGTAGCAATGCTTGGCTCCTCCCTCTGGGTGGAGCATCTCACAATGGGATGTTTTAGTTCTTATCAGTCATGCAGTAATATTCAATAGTCTGTTATCAGCAGATGTCCCCTCTTGAGGGAGATGTGAATGTGGTCACTCAAAGAGAGAGAGAAGGCAAACTGCCCACTTGACAAAAGACAACTGCCATACAGATGGTAATTGAAAACCTCTTGCATTGCAATCTTCAACAATATATAAGTGCAATTAATCTCAGGCCATAACGCTTTTAGTCTTTTTTTTTTTCCCCACTGGTACTGTGTACCTCCAGGCACTTGGACTCATCAGGTTTTTTCTGGAACCTAACTAGCTCTAGGAACAATTCTTAGCAGAGGAAAGCAGGGCTGGATACCAGCAATTTTCAGCTGCTCCTTCCACTGCAGCCACTCCATCCAAACCATGTTGACAGGACAACTCCTGTCTGAATTGTCCCTGTTCTCTTATTCTTCCTAGAAGTAGTGAGCAAACCAAACTCATCCTGCTAAACTGCCTCACATTTGGAGCCATATTCTGCATACAGGCCCAGCAGCACAGACTCCACCGCTGCTCTCGACCTCCACTAACCACAGTAGTCAGGACTGAACTGGCCTTCCTGCTTTTGTTTCAGACAAACATTGACAGTCCTGCAAGGAAAGCAATTATGAGGATTGTTCAAGAGCCAAGACAGTCTTGCTTTGATGGAGCACAGAGAATATTCTACAGGCACATGGAAAGAGATTCCTACCCCTGATTGCTTGAATCACAGTTCTACCAAAAGCTCAAACACAGTCTTCAAACTAATGGCAACAATTCAATGGGAAATTGAAGAGAATGGTTGAAAATGTAAAAGGGTTTCTTCTGGCACCCAAGTGTTTAAGGTTTAAAGAAGACAGGAGAAATCAGGCAGCAGAGGAATCCTATTATTAAACTGTTCTGTTGATGTTAGAATTCACAAGGCACTATCTTCCCCCATCCCCAAGGAAGTCTCCTTGTTTTGTTTTCCTTGCCCCACAATGAAACCCTAAAAACTGGGGTTTAGGGAAAACTAAAAATATTTTTTTAAAAGCATTTTGCTGTTGGGAAATAAATGTTTATTTGACTGTGCATTACAGGAGAAAAAAAATCATCTGCATTGCTGCATTTGCTGTTGTTTTAGTCTTACAGTTTTTCAAAGTAAAAAGATAAATATAAAATACAGCTGTTTGCCTAAACTATGGAGTATAGTATTCATGTGTATTCATTGGTGTAGGGTGAAGTTTATGCTGATTATCATTAAAACATGTGCTATGAAGGCACTTGATCTACAGTATACTAAAATAATACCAGTGACTTCTGGGTTTTTCTTCACAGATAAAATGCAGTGGTATTTTGGCTTGTTTTTTCTGGGTATGGACACACAAACACATTACTTTCCCTTCAGACGCCCTGAGAATTAGATACAAGCAAGCCTGACCCTTGAACATCCTCCTGCAACACAGACATGTGTAAAATTACAGGAGTAGAGAATAGAGATAAGAATTGTTTTTATCTTCTCTCTCTGTGCTTCTTTAGGAAAAAACCCAGAGAGAGAGAATTATGTCTCTCTGTTCAGAGAATGTGAATGCCACCCTGCTTTACATCAATAACTAATCCGATAATTTCAAACCTCATTAAAATTGGACTCTAAGCAGCACTATTATTGTGGTGCACAGCACAGGCTACTCCTGCAGAGAGACACAGTGATTTACTGATGACAGGTAAGTATGTTAATCAATAAATATCAAATGTACAATATGATGTCTGGCTTTGCAGGAAGTTATATTGGTAAATTGTAATTATATGTGGGCCCTAATGACAACGTGTGATGGAAGTGGACATGTTTAACTTATCAGTTATCTAAGGCCTCAACATCTGTCATTTTTTTATTGAATTCTCAAGCTAGGATTGATGTATATGTCCACAGCAGAATACAAAGTAAGTCTGAGCATAACCTCCACCAGAACAGAAAGCTTTAAGAGAATTTGGTGTTGTAAGTAAAGGGAGTGCTACTATAACAGATAATCCTTTCCTTTTGCAGTGACCCCATATAAAGGGATTATCATACAAATATGTGATTATACAGCTCATAAAACCACTCAGCAAGAAAAGACTCCCCAGGAAATCCAGCTGGGGATAGCATAGCTTTTGCTGCTGTTAACTCCTGATGGGTATACAGAGAATTGGACTTCAACTTGTGCCTGCAAGATGCCACAGCAAAATAAAAAAATTATACGATCTCTTAAAAAAAGAAATTCCTGCAGGAAAGTAAATAGGTGACAAAAGCCAGCCTGAGCAGAAGTAAAAAAAAACCACCTCAGCAAAATACACAAGGATCACATTAAGGAAAGGCTTCCCACTTCTGTTTGACTTAGAAATTGAGAAGACCTTGATATCTGTGTCAAAGTGGAAGAGCCTTGTGGCGACCAAGAATAATAACTCTGCATACCCAAACAGGTTCAGCATGCACAGCTTTCCAAAGGGGTCACTCAAAGCGCTGCTCAGGTCCTAGGCTGATAGAGAGACCCTTCCTCTCTGCAGAAAGGAGATTATCCAGAAGGAAGAAAAAACCTACCCACAGAAAATACTGAGGGAAATCACAGAGGGACACACAAACATGTTTTTATGGCACAAAATGTTTAGTGGGTATCTTACAGATCATGAATCTACCAACTCTTATTCTTGGTGGGCTTATTAGTTCTATATTTCCTTCTAGAAATAAATAAAATTGTTGGGGTTTGAGGCTTGGTTTCCTCTCCCCCATGTTTATCCGACACTCCCCAGCTGGAAAAAAAAGAGGGTCTTTTCCCCAAAATAGATTTGTTGTTAAATGCCAGAGATCTTTTTCTTGCTTGACTTTTCTTTTGGGTTACCAGATGAAGGGCAATAACACAGTATTTCATCAGGTCATATGATTTATAAAACAGTAACTAGTGGCAGCTGCAATAACAAATCACTGCTTTTGTCATTTTCATTAACAGCACTTGAACGAGCTCAGGTATACTTTTCCACTGGCAGACAAACCTAAAAGGCATTTGTTCACATTAATCATTCAAAGCTACTGTTAAAAAAGATAAAAAACTTGAAAATAGCTAAATTGGCAGAATTCTCCTTCTTCCCTCATATATTTAAGAATGAAAAAAAAAAATCAAAGAGGTGATTCTTCAAATATTAAGTTTGGCAAGATTAAAATGCAGATTAATAAAACCACTACAGAAATTAAACGTATTCAACCTTGGAAACTGTTGACCAATGGAGGCTCCCTTAAGAAAATAATAAAAAACAACCCATACTGGACAGATGGTCTAGGGCTTTTTTGGGTTTTGTTTTCAAAAGAGCTGACAATTAGATCTCTTTTCCATTGTAAATATGAGCTATGTTGGCCTACTTTCTTAATAACAGCTGTGAAATTTATACTCTATCATTATACTGTTATTTCCATGAATTTTACATCAACTCTTTGTGTATAGATAATTAAGTGTAGAATTAAAAATGCAGATTGTAGATCAGGTCTATAAAACAAAGTAAAAATCTGCTTATAATTAGAGTCACCAAAATAAAACTTTAGAAATAACATAGCCTATTTTTTTTTGGTACAGATGGGTAGTAAATTACAACATAAAATGTCTCTCCACTGTGCATTCCAACAATTTCAGAGAATAAGTTGTTGGGAGGATTTTCTCTCAAGTTCTCATTATTTTTGTACTTCCATACTAACTCTAGATATCCCTTCTTTCAACTCACAAGAAATGAATGTTAGGCAGTCTCACTCTAAGTGCAGCAATGAGCCATTACACAGAACTTGGTACAGTAGACAAGCAATCTAAACAAATTGTGAACAGAGATGTTTATCACCAATTACAGGCCAGATGAGGATGTTTGGGAATTTACATCTTCACAGGAAAGGGAAATAACTGCAGCATTTCCAAGTATTACCAAATGTACATACTGTTGCAATCACAGGGCCCTTCAGAAACTGATGTTTGAGCTAACGCTCATTAACAGAGAGCAATGGAAGAAGTCCTCCAAAAAGGACATTTTGCTGCATGTGCTGATTAGCTGGAACCCATGGCTACAGAACATAGCTGGTTTGGGCAAAGACTGCATCCTGACACAGGTTTACCTACAGTCTCCTACGATGCAGCCTCACAGAGACAGTCATCTCAGTAGAATTAACCATTTAATTTATGTCAGTAGTTTTGAGAAGCTTTGCTATTAAGATTTTAAATCTCAAATTTTAAAAAGGCTTTAGAAAATATAAACTTAAAAAATTCAAATTTAAAATAGCAGACCCAAATGAAGGTCTGATTAGAATACACAAAAGATTCTAACTTTTTTTAAACAAAAAGGAAAAAATAATTGGATGAAGCAAAGAAAGATAAAAAGATGCAAGAGGAGCAAACTGTGTCTTGAGGAAGCAAATAATGCAGTCCAGCATTCTTTGAGATACTACACATCATATGTACACAGATTCTAAGAATTGTGAATTCTCATTACACCCAAAACATGATCTCAGCCACTTGCAGCCAAATTGTGCAATGGGTTCTTCAGAAAGGAATGTAAATTATTAGGACATTATGACAATCATGTCGTATTCTGGATCCCAGGCAGTGCCTTTCTGTTGACTTTCATGTGCCTACATGTCCTTGTGAGAGCTGTGATGTGAAATGGGATGCTGTGACGTGTTCTGCAGCTGCTCAGCATTACGAGCACACACATTCTGCCTTGGCTGAGCTGCACTAACGCTTCATAGTGTGTGAACTCCTTGGGATGTGTGGGGCTTCTCCTGGGACCAGGACATCTGCCACAGGTCACTGGACATCCTGTGCATGCCCTGCTAGTAAGTGGATGCCACAAGAGGTCCTAGAGCATCTCTGTAGGACCAGAGGCCTGTGCTTACACAACTGAATCAAGCCTGCTTCTTAAATCTATCAGCTGAAGGTTTCACATTTGCCAGCCTTTACCTACCACTGGCATCTTACAGCAGCCTTTCAATGAATGGTTCATCTATAAACTTCTTTTTCTCTCCAAAACTGCCATGACAATTGTCTCAAGATTCCCGTACCTCAGATTTCACTGAACTTAAAATATGACACAACTATGCAGGAACTAGGAGCCACTCCTCACTGTAAGGACATGCACCTCACAAAATTGAGAAATGGGGTAGGTCCACACTGTGGAGATCAGTCAAACAGGGGGTTTCAACCATGGCAAACCTCCACCAATGAGCTACAGCCATCCTTCCCAACTACAGTTCTCCAATGCCATGTCCTCTCTGGATTTCTGCATTAGGTACACAGACCTGAGGATAAGGGGGAAATCCTGAGGCTTTACATGAGGCCAGGAACAAGGCTGCAGTTCCTCTTCCACAACCCCACTCCCCCATAAGTTGCAGGATCCCACGGATCCATAGCCTGTACTTCTCAGTGGGAAACAATGCAGAAGCCAAACCCTAAAAGAAGGTACCAAAGGTTTGGTGTGAGCATTGCCTTCCTGCCCAGCTCTGCCATGGCAGTGAGAGCATGGTGCCAGGCCTGAGCTTCAACACCAAACCCCAGCTGGAGACTGCATTTCTGATTGCTGGCATTCCTGGTGCTTGTGAAATGCAAACGGCCTCTGCATCTGTTCAGCTCCTCACAGAATTAGTTTGCTACCCCTGTCTAGTGTCCTGGCTTGCCTGTCTCTTGGGTCTCAGGCTGCTACGTCAAAACTTGCCTAGAACATCCATCACGAGGG